AGGAAGGAATATGCAACAGCAGTGCAAAGGCCCCATGGAGGGAGTGGAGAATTGGGTGGGAAAAGTTGGTTTTATTTTATTATAAACATGCTGGGTGAAATAATTACTCTAGTTGATAGAGGCTTTTTTGAACTGCAGGATGATGCTTTCTTTGTGTGAGGTTTTCAGATATTTGGGGGGGTGGGGTGGAAGGGGGCTTCATTGCAGCTGCTGTGTCACTGATCCAAAACAGCCTTCAGGGCACCTTATTAAACTGATTAAGGAACATTTTTGTCCATTTCAGCATGTATTCTACAAAGAAAACAGGAGGCTGCAAAAAACACTTCTGGTGTTCTCTGCAAAAAGTGCCAGCAAAAAACATTCCCTCTCACTTGCACCTGGGAAGATAAAGGAACCTAGACAAACAGACTGGAAATTTCTGAGTATAAAGACTCTTCCCATGTTGGTGACTTTTAAATGAGGTGTCTGTGTACACAGATTGGTTGCAGCAGTTGGCAGCCAGATTGCATTCCTTGCTTCACTTTTCATAGCCAATCCAAGATGGCCTGTGGCAAGTTGGTGTTGCTGGCATACTGCGGCCTTGGCTAAGTTTAAAAAAAAAAAAAGTTTTCTAACATGTATGAAGCAGGCTATGTCATCGTACAAAGCACTCACCTGTTCTGTTAGCCTTGCCATGAGCTGGTGGTGGTAGACCATTTATTTGGCTTCCACTAGACAACTGTTATATTATTACAGAAAGCATTAATAATGCTCTAATTATAAATATGGTTAAACATTGGAATAGATTAATGATGGAGGCTGTGGAATCTTTATTCTAGGAAGTTTCTAAGAGTAGGTTAGATAGAAACACTTGACTATAAAGGTTTAAATGGGGATGATCGTCCTTTGGGCAAGGGGAGCAGTGGGGGTCACTCTTTTTGGCAGAGGTGTCACAAATTAGCCCCATACCCTCCTGGAGTACCACTCGAGTCTCTTTCCTCTGTCTAGTCTGCTGCTGCTTCTGTTCTTCTGCTCTGTGTTCCCTGCCCAATCTGTTTCTCTGCTTTTTCCTCCCTGCCTGATCTCCTGCTCTGCTTTCTGCTTCCTGTCCTATCTGCTGCTGTACTGCCTGTCTCCTGGACTAGAGGATGTCTTGAGATCCCTTCTAGGTCTATTTTTCTATGATGATCTTAAAACTGCCTTTCTCCTGGACTGCTAAGGTGACACTGGCCAACCAGCTAACCATAACTGGGTATACAAGCAAAATGAGTCATTCCTTAAAACTGTGTTGTTGTGCATCTTTAGTGTTTGAAAGCATTTGGGCCCTGACTTGAGGGCAGAAGATCTTTTAATTTGCTCTTATCTATTTTGATCATCAGCTCTCCAAGGGAGGTAGTCTTTCAGCTGTGTGAGGCTCATTAGGTTGAATAAAGGTAGAGTGAGAGCAGCAGGTGTTCTAAAAGGATTAAAAAGCCCTGCCTTGATTTTAACGCTGTCTGTCTGTCTGTGTTCTGTTTACAGGAATGCCCAAAATGTCATGTGACCATCGAAAAGGATGGTGGCTGCAACCACATGGTCTGTCGGAACCAGAACTGTAAAGCAGAGTTCTGTTGGGTGTGTCTTGGCCCTTGGGAGCCACATGGATCTGCCTGGTAGGTTTAGAACAGTAACCTAATGGCTGGACATGAAAGTGGCATTACAGACCTTTGTGTACATTTTTTGAAAGGCAATTCTTAAGCGTCAGATGTCTGTTTGTTACAGGTACAACTGTAACCGCTACAATGAGGATGATGCAAAGGCAGCAAGGGATGCACAGGAGGTGAGTCCACAACTTTTGGTGGGGTCTGGAGGAATATCTTGCTCTAGGAAGTGCTTTTTGGCTCTAAACCCGCATTTTAGAGAGACACACCCACTCATGGAACTCTTGGACAGAGAGCAAAATCCAAAAGGCATTTAGCTTGCATCACAACAATGGAATCTTGTTTGGTTGATATATCAAGTCCTTTGAACACTTTAAGATAGGTGCCTTTGTCATTTTTGTTTTCTGTTGGCGTTAAATATAGTTGGCTCTTATGGAATGTAACCTCAACAGAGCTATGAATTGGAGACAGTCCTGACTGCTTTGTAAAGTGTTCTGTATAGCAAAATTCTTGAGGTTATGGCCCTGTGTATTGAGGAGGAGCAGACCTTTTGCATGTAAATGTAGTGGAATTCCTGGTGGTTTTTCATAGCAGTTGTCTATAATGGGTCTTTCAAGAGCTTTCCTGGATTGCTTTGTTCTCGGAAAGTAGGCTGGCTCAGTGAGTAGAAGTCCTGGACATAGGTTTAGCTGTGTTTTAAATACCAGTTACTTTGCCTGTATTCATACCAGAGCACTTGTAAACAGGGAGGGATTGTCTTTCATGCATACTGTGGGTTGCAGAAATCCATTTCATGCGCCTTGGCTAAGCATTCCTGTAGCCAAGCACTTAAATATTTCTTGAAATACATTCTAATACAAATCCATACTAGCACGTACTGAAGTAGAATATAGCCGTCACCTTCACATTGAGAGATTTATCCTGTGCGCATCCTTAATACTTCAGTTAATCTGCCAACAAAGAAATTACTAAGAATAATGGTTATGCATATGATTTGTGCCTATAATAATGATCAGTAATTTATCCTAGGCTACTTAATATCTTAAACCTCTTTCCCATTCCTTAATCATGGTGTTTACTTAAAAACATATTGGAAGTAACATTTTTAAAACAACATTAAATTGGACAGATAAATCAGCGTTCTAAAATCCTAATAAGGATGTTCATTTCTTCTGTGGTAGGACCCCGAGCCACCTACATAAGCAGAAATGAAGTAGATTGATTCCATTGCCAAACTGAGGAAATATAGTTAAGTAGATGTGTGTCCATAAAAAGAGAATTTTGACTAGCTTAGTAGTCTGTAGACTTTCAAATAAACTGCATAAAAGGTCTGGCTGGACTTGTTTTGCTCCTTTAAAATATTAGAGACTGACAAGGATGATGGACTAGGGAAGGAAAAGATCTGGCTTACGTTGTTCATAACCATTTCATTTGGGGGGGCTTGAACTTGGCACTAAGGGCCATAAAAGGGATTTAAAATTAGGGCACAACTCTTCAGCTATCCAGCAAGAGAATAGAGGGCCTCCTGTCAGGAGTGGGATGGTAGGACACATTTCCCATCTAGATTTTATTTTGGCTCTTCAGTGCTAGTGTTGCACTCTGTCCTGTGTGTGTGCAGGTAATGAGATTTGAGGTTGGTATACATTAGCAGGAGCCGTGTGGTGGTGATTCGGGCATGTATATACTTGCTTGCATGGATTATTCTGGAAGTGTGATTTAATTCTCAAGCATCATGGATTGGGATCTTGTTTAGCACTGCAGAGGGTATGGATTTGCCTACTTAGAGCTGTACAATGACTGGTGTGCTTCTGCAGAGTTGTATAGAGTAGTGCTACACTTGTATCTGAATGTGACCAGCTAAGGAGCAAAGGAACCCTTTCAGAAAGGAAACTCCTTTCTGCTAGTCAGATTTGGAACCCTTATGAGACTTCTAGTTTTCTTAGTTATCAGCCCCTACTTTGTTTTAACTATTTGTTTTCTTTTATATAATGGGAATTAACACAGCGATCCAGAGCAGCCCTGCAGAGGTACCTGTTCTACTGCAACCGCTATATGAACCACATGCAAAGCCTGCGCTTTGAGCACAAACTCTATGCTCAGGTGAAGCAGAAAATGGAGGAGATGCAGCAGCACAACATGTCATGGATCGAGGTGCAGTTCCTGAAGAAAGCAGTTGACGTCCTCTGCCAGTGTCGTGCCACACTCATGTACACTTACGTCTTTGCCTTCTACCTCAAAAAGAATAATCAGTCCATTATCTTTGAGGTAGGGAAATGTGTGCTTTTGGCTTGCTGGGAATAAAGCTCACATTACTAAGATGCAATAGGGAAACTTGATCACAGTTAGTAAGAAACTGGAAAGACAGAGCTGTGTTTTTTCTCTCTTTCTCGGATGATAATGAAGTAGTGTAGGGGTTGGATTGCATGCAGCATTCCCTCCTGGAGAAAGGAGAGTTGCCTTTACACAATAGATAACTGGCTAACCACTGTCTAATGCCATAACACAGCCATTGCATTTTCAGGCCTACAAAAATAAATATCAAGTTTGGGACTTGAGCTAGTTGGAAGTGTTTCTAGACTTGGATTTAATCTCTTACATGTATCCAGTATTTCCTGGTTTTAAGACAATGGTAGTAAAGTAGTGCCTCTGGCTGCTACAAAGACTGAAGCAGTTTGGACCTTTTCTAATTAAATAGCCTTTCATCATTATTTACATCTGTAGTCAGTCAAAGCCACACAGCATAGCAGACCATTGGTGTGCCTGCATTAATAACCAACCATGGCTCTGAAGGTTTGACAAAGGCCTTGCACACATTTAGAGGAGTTAAGTGGTTAAGTGTACAAGGGACAGAAGGAGAGAGGCACCTGTCTTTCCCACAGGATAAAGCAAATAAGGAAAGAGCTGTTTGTTTCTTTTAGGTGGGTTGCAAATCAAGGAAGACTATAAAATAAAATGTAAATGTTTGCTGGTGACTCTGCTCATCAAATCATGAAATTAATTCTCTGCCTTCTCAGTTCTGATATCTGGAGTTAATGGCTCACTCTGGCATGTAACTCAATGCAGAACTTCCCCTCCTACTTTTTTTTATTTAAGTCATGATGATGCTAGTAAGTTTGAAGAAGTGTCTCGCTAAAAGAAATTGTCATGTTTTCATCTTTGCAGAATAACCAAGCAGACTTAGAGAATGCTACAGAGGTGCTTTCTGGGTACCTGGAGCGAGATATATCCCAAGATTCTCTGCAAGACATAAAGCAGAAAGTACAAGATAAGTACAGGTATGTTTTTGAAGTAAACACTAACTCAAATACTACATTGTACCATTACCTTTCTGTCACTTCTGATATGGTAGGTAACAGTCTAGAGGGAAGGCAAATGTGTAATAGCTTCATTATACATTTTTCAGTCAAATCTCTAGAGAGTTGCTTATTTTGGGCCTCTAGCCAAAGTTCTTGGTCAGCAGCCAACCTGTAACCAGGCAGCTGAGGCCAGAGGTAAAGAGTGAGCACTGATCTTCTCTAGTACATAAAATCAAATAGGCATTAGCAATGCTGGGATCCTAATCTGGTTTCAACCCCATGTCCTCTGGCCTTCTAGGAAACAAGTCTTAATTAAGGGGATGCAGAGCTTCCCAAGTTGTGAGCATCTGTTCTGTTGAACAACAGTGAGAGAGTTTTGCAGTCCCTGTATAGTATGTCTGTATTAATTACTGTTGCCTTTAGCTTCTCCTGTAGGAGTAAAAAAGGAGTAACCAGAGAACAACAGCATCAGGAAGGGGCCATAGATGAGGGCAAAACAAAAGGGAGGAGGACATTTAATTTTGTTGGCCAACACGTTTGCCTTGAGATGGTTGTGTGTTCAGTGGGGGCTTCTTGCCCTGTGCACAAATTAACCTGTCAATAGGATATAGCAAGAAGAGAGATACATTATAAAGAAAGTGGAGAGACTAATATAACCCTTCTGTACCAACTGTCACCCCCAAATGCATCTTTTTGGAGCAGTGAGGCTCAGATGGCACACATTCAATGGCTGCTTAATGTTCTAGAACAGTGGTTCCCACACTGACAGATTTCACACTACCAATTTAGAATAATATAACCTTATGTACCGCCAGCGAATTTTTGTCATATAGAGTAATTATAAAAAATCTGTTAATGCGTACCACTGACAGGTTGTCTGCGTACCACTGGTGGTACCTGTACCACAGATTGGGAACCACTGTTCTAGAGAGACTGATCTACAGTATGGAAAAATATAGGACTAAATGTAGATGAGTTTACAGGATTACAAGTTTTAGTTTGGAGGCACCGGGCCTCAATTGCTGCATTTGTTAGGTCTATCAGGAGGGAAAGAAACTTGCAAGTAAAATGAGCTCTAGTGTTTGGAGCTGTGTCAGGGAAATTAATATGCTAATAATATGCCTAGTGGGGCTGCTGCCCACTGTGTTGTATGTCTGTAATGCTGTTAGGACTATGTTTTGTGAGAATCTGGTTTTGAGGAGCTTGCACCATTTAGATTAGTGTTAGGCTGAGATTTCAGCTCTGATTCAGAGTTGCTGATTCCATTGACTTCTCAATATTGAATATTCTTTTAGGGGTATTAGCAGCTACCCAAAGCCAATTTAAAAATAAACATGGGTTGATGTGTATGGAAACACAGCATCCCAAACCTGTCAACTTTTTTATTTCTGGGGAAAAAATGGTGAGATTTTTAGGTATGCAGGAAACCCTAATTCACCAATATGTTCATGCACTACAGATAGTTCTTTTGTTGCCTGCTTTTAATATTTAAACTTGATGTCCATCATTTGCTGGCCATATTTTATAAGGCCAGGAAGAAACAAAGGACTGAAGAATTGCAAGGGGGAACTGCAGGATGTAGAGAATTCTTTAAGAAACTGCACTGACTGTCCATTCAGCTGAGAGGTGGTTGTTTTTGGTCTTTCAGCTTGTGATGCTTGTGGCATTTCTGGAAAATGGGATCTAAAAACCCACCAGAATTAACTGAAGTTTAGAAAGCAATTACTGTGCATGTTCCATTTATCACATGCCTCATGAAATGAATGGAACTTTGTGTGTTCTCGTATTGCAACAGCTGATACCAATAAGAACTAGAATAGTTCATTTGAATAAATCTGTCAACTGGATCAGATACTGAATGTTAAGTGTTAAAGCTGTAACTTGTAGCAAGGCAATTCTGAGTTCAGGCTAACCTGATGTTCTTTTCACTTTTATGTGCCTACATATGGTAATCATGGCTTGCACAGTGTTCCAAAATGTCTGCAAGAGATGCGTTTTTTAATTTGCTAATGTGTTTCTGGACTTAGTTGAGAAGAACGATTTTGACTTGCTGAGAGAGCTCACAGCTGTGAGAGCCTTTCAGTTGACAGTGACAGATACACGTCTGGAAATTGAACGGCATGCCTCTCTACCCCCAGTGGGAGACTGGCTCTTGAACTCCAGTTTCTCATATTACATCTGAATAGGTTTGCCTCAAATAACCGCTGCTGGTGGTATTGTGCCTATGCTGCCTGGCTGCACCTGTTTGCCACCGACTCAGTGGCATGGCTGTACCTGGCACAGTGGGATGCGCTTAAGGGGTTATGGTTTTGTTCCCATATGCAAAGAAGAGGTGGGAGAAATAAGGCATAACCAGTGAACAGGGACGGTCACCAAAGATGTGCTAATAAATGTTAAAGGGAGCCTGACATTCAGCTTGTTTATAAACTGCGCTTAAAAAGATCTAAGTCTGTTTTTCTTCTTTCTAGTTGTAATGCATCTGAACTGAATATGGCTTCCTTTGACACAGCTGGTGTTATTACTTCTAGGTGTGTCCCTGTCTCTGGGCTCAGTTTAATTGTCCCATCCCTGACAGGAAGATTATCATGACAGATACATGTGCAAACAGGCCTACTAAATAACCTCTTTTGAGGCTTGGTCCAGTTAGACCAGTATCCTGCTTTTACAGCCAAGCAGTGCTTTCCTTCAGAATGGTAAAGGTGGAAGTCCTGGAGGTGAACAAAACTAGGCCCAGTGCAGTTGGATAATTGTTGTTGTAGTTGGTTTTTATTTTGTCATCTTAATGTAGCAACTTTGGGTAGGGTCCCAGGTTGGCATTCAGAAAAACTTGCTTTTGTTTCCAGCTCTGCCATTCAATTTGGACAAATCACAATCTTTGTGTGCCCATTTTTGTTTGTGACATAGGGATAATACTTACCCATGTTTGCAGAGAGCTTTGAGATCGTTGGGTAAGAAGTGCTTTTAAGTGTGTGCATTTGGTGCACACCTTGACAGAATGACCTTGGGGAACTCCCAGGTCTTAATTATAGTAAACTATAAATTCCCTATGAGTCCATAGATCACACCTGGCACCACCGTTTTAAGCTCGGGTATAAAATAGGCCTGTATTCCAAGGCAGGTCACTTGTACAGTCACTAGTGGATATAGTGTACTCTTTCTAACCTGTGTCTCTTATGTACTCTCCCCCTTTGCTACAGATATTGCGAGAGCCGACGAAGGGTTTTGTTGCAGCATGTGCATGAAGGCTATGAGAAAGACCTGTGGGAGTACATTGAGGACTGAGACGGGCCTGCATAAAACGAACTCTGAAAACTTTACCATCTAGAGTGCTCATGAAATTAAAACAAAACACACACAAAAGAGGCACTATGCCTATTACACCGCTGGGTCTGTAGTACCGGGATTCTGTTTTGTTAACAGAAAATTTAAGTAAATTATATTGTAATAAAAAAGGTAGATAAACCATTGTACAACAGTATTCTAGGCGGCCAATAAGAGTGTGACAGACGCACTAAAAAAAAACAAACCCTCCAACTTTAACTTGTAACGTAGCTTCATTCTCCATGCCGATTCCTTTTTCTTTTCTTTCTATCTTTTCCTGTGTGTAGTACAGATGAAATTTAAACCAGTTTCTTGACACCGCTTTTCATGTCCAAACCAGCCATTTTGATGTACCTTTGGTAAGGGGGAAGGGGTTTCTCCCCTCCCATCCCTCCTCCTCTCACGCACCCAAGTACATGAATGAATGTTGATTGGCTCTTGTAAAGACCGTTCTTGGGGAGGGGAGGAGGGGGGTACACAGCAAGGAAAAAAAAACCTTTGTATATGAATTTTAAAACAGAGGACAACACAGTATTTTTCAAAATTGTATATAGCGCATATGCATGGACAAAGAGCAAGCGTGGCACGTGTTTGCATAATGTTTAATTACAAAAAAATATTTATTCTTTAAAAATCTTCAAGATTATGTCTATTTGCTGTGCATTTTCTTTCAGTTTGATTTTTTTTTTTTTTTCCTTCCCTGGGACGGGGGGGGGG